GAGTTCAGTACTAAGTTATTTTAAAAAAATAGGTATGAAACAGCTTACCGATCTAAATCCTAAGTGGCGTTATGAGATTCTGCAAGGTACATTAACATGTTGCCGTATTCACGAGCACTATTAACGTACCTACGCGTTAGGCATTATTAAAACAAAACAAGAAAAACAGAACGTAACAACAAGAATGTAATAAACAAAACGATTGAACTGTCGCTCACGCGCACGTGATAGTCAATACGGAACTGTCTCAAAAACTAAAATTAATAAATAATCAATCCCGCCAAAACAAATGCCTCGTGCGTCGTAACGACCTTGAAGCACTGATCATTTCCACAGACCGTTAAGCCGTTACGACATTGCCAACGTTTATTTTATAAGTTTAGTTATCTCTACGACTAGTCTTCATATGAAATTTAGAAGTTATGGTTGTCATTTTTAATACATTTACACAATCTATTGTACCCTGACGAAACAAGCAGTTCTTTACTACAAAAATTATATTGAAATTAATAAACGTACCTGATTGGGTACTCAGTACTCACTTACACAATTTTAAACACTATTTCATCCTTATCTTTGATTTTATATAAGAAAATAGAAATGAAATGGTACTGAATAATTTAATAGTTAAAGTCAATTGCAATTATGATCGATAGTTAATTAATCTATCAGACTTAATGTAAAAAATTATACTTTTACTTTATTTTAATTCACTTTCCGTATTTAATCCGGCCAATACATTGAATTTAAAAAGAGGTATGTCAAAATTATTCAAAATTACTTGCAAGTTTTATAGAGATGGCCGCCTCTAATTTAATTTTCATACGTGGTAGAGCCATGCTGCGGCTATATTTGTAGTATAGTTGTAGCACGACTGGGTCGGCTCGACCGGGGAAGGACTACGCTCTCACAGAATACGAGCGTAAAATAGCATCTTAATAGTACGGTGTATTTTTTTTTATAGAAGAGGGGGTAAACGAGCATGCGGCTCACCTGATGGTAAGTGACTTCCGCCGCCCATGAACAACTGCAACACCAGGGGAATTGCAGATGCGTTGCCGGCCTTTTAGAAAGGTGTAAGCTCTTTTCTTGAAGGTTCCTAAGTCGTATCAGTCCTTAAAATTCGCTGGTGTATGGTGAGTGTAGAGAACCAGAGACCCTTTTTACTGGAAAAGAGGCATTCCAACTTAGTCCTCACGTGTGACAACGCATCTTCATTTTGATTCGCAAACGAGGATAAATGTAGATGTCTATGGGCCACAGCAACAACTTCCCATCAGGTGGGCTGTATGCTCGTTTGTCACCCTATTCCTATAAAAAAAAATCTTATGTCGCCTTCAAACTATATTTCGGTGCCACATGGCAGCGTTGCCAACAAAAATTCATGTTAAATTTCCCAATTTCAGGACAAAACTTCAACAGATTCCCCACAAATTCCCCTCAATTGTATTTTAAGAAATGAATAAATGTTCAACTAATTTTATAAGATTTACGTTTTAACTAACATTTTTTTTCTTTAAAATTAAAAAAGAAAGAAAGGAAAAGCATTAAATGATACACAAAACTTGCCGTAATAAATCCGAAAATTAAATGTTGCACCACATTTAATTTTCGGATTAAAGATAATTAAAAAAGGGAGTCATTTGATATTCATAAGTAACCTAACAAAATGTTAAGATAAGTATTTAGATTTCTTGAAATAAGGTTCTAACTTGGCCCTGGCTATCGATATTCAAAATTTCCGTATTTTCTCCACATAATACCAATCTCCATAAAATCCCCAAACAAGGCGTCACGAGCCGACCGGGCGGCGGTAGCGCGTATATGAAAGGGAAGGGTAGAGTGAGTAGCCATTGTTTCGCACCGTGCTAGATACATAAGAGTTCGGCGTCCCTGAGAATATTGACTCTATTATTAGCTGATTATATTTTAAGTTTCACTGCTGGTTTTATGTTTAAGTATTTTCATGATTTTTTTATGAAATTATCGTTTCATTTAGCTGTACTAACATAATGAAGCGTGAATAAATTAATAAAACGTTGTGAATAGATGGTTTTCTTTTCCTCGGCATCGAATTTATTTGTTACCCATGATCAAAGGTATCCTTAGTACTATCATCTGTCTTCGTTTTTGGGAGCGTCTCACAAACACCCGTTATTATAGATAAAATAGGTCGAATCTGTACTAAAACCGAATCAGAACGCCCCGACTCCATATAGTAGTCGTATCTGCCCTACACCTAGTGTTTTTGTAACGCTGTAGGCGCAGAGGGAGAGCAGCCCCCGCCCGCCGTGTCAAATCGTAGGCACCTGTGCGAGCTGTAGAGGCTGAGGCAGGTCGTCGAAGGCAACCAATAAGCTGAAACTGCGAAGCTGAGCATGGCTGTGATTTGCTACGCAAGGGCGAAGGGGCTTCACTCCCCGTAGTGCCGAAGCCGTTGCAGAAGTAACTATGTCTATATTCCTGTGCATAAAAGTGAGGTTATGATTTTACAAAAATATTACTCATAAGCTGTACATTTCCGCAAGGGGGGAAGGGCTTCCCCAGCACTTGGTGGTGGGGCTGCGGGGGGAGAGGAAGTTTTGGTATTGCGAGGTGCTACTCTCCCTACCCTCCGCAGTTGAATCCTGGTTGGCGGCGGAGCCATTGGCCAGATTCGCCGTTGGAGTCGGAAAGGCTAGTGCTTCTGAGTGCTCGTTTTTCCTGGCACAATGCGCTTCGGAAATCGGACATGGGGGCCGTCGTTGCGCATGTAAAGTTGAAGGCCTCAGAGGAGGGCGCACCTCGTGTTTTGATGGCTTACCTGAGAAGGAGATGGGGAGGAGTAGTCCTTTCCCGAGGAGGGGCCGCCATGGGGTAGCCAGCGCTGCTGGAGCCCTGAATATGTGCCAAAGCGTTCCCGTAGCCCTGTTAATATGTGACGAAGGGTTATAGTTGGTGCGAGTCCGCCAAAACACGTCCTTGCCCCCGTTAGGTGGGTATGCGTAGGCATTTCCCTATGTAAAAGAAAAAAAGGCGTAGTCCTAAATTCATGGAAGCTTTGGTCCACCTGATCCCTAAAAAAGGCGACAGCTCAGACCCGTCTCACTACAGGCCTATCGCCACCATCTCCTTGTTCTCCAAAATAATGGAATCCATTATAAACTGCCAGCTCATGAGATACCTTGAAGCTTCAGCTGGTGATCTTCTGATCTACCTAACTCATAGATGGGCGGAGGCAGTAGAGTCCAAGGGGGAGGCATTGATCATTTGGACATTGCCGACGCCTTCGATTGGGTTTGGCACACAGCGCTTCTTTAGAAGCTCCCTTCCTATGGGCTTCCCGAGAAAATGTGCAATTGGATCACCAACTTTCTTGTAAATTGGAGTATCAAGGAGAAGCATATTAACGCTGGTGTTTCACAAGGCTGCGTAACTTCTACATAATATTAATTATATGTTACAAACGGGTAACATACATTGCTATGCGGACAGCACTGGTGATGCTTTTTTATACACCGGCCATGCAAATATTTCTCTCAGGAAAACGTCGCCAATTATCGGAACAAACTTGTGTCTGAAGTTAAGACTTTGTTGAAAAAAGATTCGGATTGGGGGCGACTAAATCTAGTCCAGTTCGATCCGCAAAAGACACAAGTTTGCGCGTTTACCGCTAAAAAGAACCCCTTTGTCGTATCTGTTCATCCCATTCTTGTAGCCTCAGCCAATATCGTAATTCTTGGCGTCGACATATCTAATGACGTACAGGGTAGAGAAGGCCAATTGGCCTTTCTTTTTCTCCTAAAAAAGCTTGGCGTGCTCAACAGAGCGTGACAGCATTTCATGCCGGCTCACTGCCTGCAACTTTACAAGACGCAGGTTCGACCTCACATGCAATACTGTTCCCATCTCTGGGCCGGGATCCCAGGTGCCAGCTTCTTCCATTTGATCGTATCCAGTGCAGAGTGGTTTGAATTGTCGGTGACCGAGCTCTTTCTGATCGCCTTGACTTACTGGCACTGCGAAAAGATGTTGCATCTCTTTGCCTATTTTTTCGCATCTACCAGAGAGTGTTATGTGGAATTGTTCGGACAGGTTCGCACACACATACATAAACACTCACGCCTGTCACCCAGAGGGGTAAGCAGATACTATGGACTTTCATTTGGCACAATCCTGACACACCTCTCTCGCTTCCTCCACATCCATATACCTACACATACACGCTCGTCAGTTAACGGTACTCTTAATTTGGCCCATTTTCAATGTGTCGCCAATTTGGTCGATAAACTTTCACCTGGGGCGTCCCTTCCTGACTCTGCCCTTCACCTCTGCAACATAAATTCGCGATACCATCTGGATGATTGGCGGTCCACCGCTATGCGATTTATAAGAAGAATTTTTTCTTCTTCCTCGCACTACTTCCTTGTGAAATCAACTACCACTAGCGATTTTTCCAGACCGATATGACTTAGGGACCTTCAAGAAAAGAGCCTATACGTTTATTAAAAGGCCGGTAACGCACCTGCGATGCTTTTAGTGTTGCAGATGTTCACGGGCAACAATCAAATCTTACCATCAGGTTAGCCGCATGTTCGTTTGCCCACTCTTCTATAAAATAACAAAGATTTCTTTGTCAAGGAATCTTACTCCCGACAGCTCATCAAGTAAAAGAGTTACACTACGAAAACTGCTATGAAGTTATACGGGATAGGGACGGTCTCAAGCTCAACGCATTAAGTGAGCAAAACAATTAAACCATATACGGAATATACAAAGTGCCACATCATTTCCGTCATGAACGGACGCATGAAGTGAGTAAAACATACAAACCATATACGGAACATACACAGTGCCACATCATTTCCGTCATGAACGGACGCATGAAGTGAGCAAAAACATACAAACCATATACGGAACATACAGAGTGCCACATAATTTCTGTCATGAACGGACGCATGAAGTGAGCAAAAACATACAAACCATATACGGAACATACAGAGTGCCACATAATTTCTGTCATGAACGGACGCATGAAGTTAGCAAAAACATACAAACCATATACGGAACATACAAAGTGCCACATCATTTCCGTCATGAACGGATGGTTGAAGTGAGTAAAACATACAAAGAAGGGAATCAAAACCCAACCTTAAAATTTGGTACGAAGCAACGTATTATAGCACAGATAAAGGAAACACGCGAAAAGCATAAATTTTTAGTTACATCACATGATAAAAATATTTTGAATAATTTTAACCTTATTTACCTACGGATTTGTTCGGAACCCTCCGTGCGCGAGTCCGACTCGCACTTGGCCGGTTTTTTGTATTCTGTTTGATCCGAAATCTCCAAGGTACCCTAAGGAGCTACTCCATGCGAACGACCTTGAGCATTTGGTCCGCCGCGCAGACTCGCTACAATATATTGCGTAAGAAATATGTAAGACGCCATCTACTGTAGGAACGTAGTATTATTTTTCAAAATCAATAAACTATTTTATGGAAATACACACAGCGTAGGTACAACGATAAATGTATTTTAATTTTTTTTATTCGGTATATTAGTTGCATTATATTAGAATTATGTATTCTCATATATTATCTAATTATGAAATTTTATAATTAATTATATATTAAAAACGAAGCATTGAAAATTGTGAGTTTAAAAGATACCTACTCACTATAGGTTAATAGATAGTCAGCTCGCCTTTTGTACAAATATTTGGTGCAATAAAGAATAAATAAATAAATAGGATATTTCGCAGATGTGATTTTGATTATTGTTAATTTTTACGTGTCACGTATTGAAAAGTAAGATACCTACCTACTAATTTTTGAACTGAGCACCTTGTAACATAGACTGCTTATTACTTATGCTGGCTGACATTATCCTCACCACAATGATTGATGAGGATGAAAATCAAATTTATTTCTACATACGTAATTTATACATAAGAGTAACTTTAGTAAAGGTAATACAAAAATCAACAAGAAGTATAAGGGTTCAATCTTTCAATTTCAATTTTAAAAAAACGTTACCCCTACACTAGGAGTTTCTCCTGTGTCGTGGAGGCAGTTTACAAACATAAATTGCACAAGGACAAACATCCAGACCCGGAACAATTATTTGTAGGCCATACAAATACTTGTTCCGTGCGGGATTCGATCCCGCGGCCTCCAGCGCAACAAGTGATCCATGTGTGTGATGAGAGAGCCACGGAGCCATCGTCGGGTTATAGCTAAAGTGACCATACGTCCCGTTTTGAACGGGACTGTCCCTTTTCTCGGTCACCTGTCCCATTGTCCCCAAACAAAGCTCCGGGACACAAAATTGTCCCGTAACTCGTTGGATGGAAGTATTCAAAGTCAACAATCTTCAACATAATTTTTTTTAATCTAATATATTTTATGTCTACCTGGTACAAATGCTCCAGTAGAAAGAGTATTTTTCTATTTTGAATATATTGTGGACGTCTGAAAAAAACACTTACGGTTCCAGTTCTAAAGGCGATGTTATTAACAAAGGTAACAATAAAATTTGACCAGAATTTTATTCCTATTTAAAATCATCACCAACTTTATTACAGCAAATTTAATCCACTGACAAATGTAATTAATAATTAAAAAAAATATGTTGCATTTAATAATTACCGTCTATACCGAATATAATTTTATAGTGAACACTAATTGTATAAAGTTATAGCTTTTAGAGTATAAATAAACCCATGTCCTGTTTTGAGTTAAAAAATAAATGGTCAGTTTAGTCTTTTTTAGTTAATATTAGTTTTAAAAAAATTTTGTTTACAGTAAAAAGTAGGTATATTAATACCTACTTAGATACTTTTTACCGAATTAGGGTGGATGCCCCTAATACCAGTCATGCCCCTAATATCAGTCTTTTCGCCTTTTTACTCCATAAATAAGATTTCTAGTAGTCTTAATTACAAATATTGTCATCTAAAAAATTCTTTGTACCAAGGGGAAAGTATATTTATTCAAATATTACCTCGCAGTTTTAAACCTAATAAAAAGTATCTAATTTCAGCCACGTAATATAAATCAGGGCTGCCATAAACTGGAATAAATACCATTAATTAGATCATAACTTATTTTATAGCTAAGGAAGTTATGATCAATTCGTCTGTTTTAAAATTGGTTTTATATTTTAAAGTTTAGTAAAAGATGTACTAGCTTTTCTCTCTGACATTCGGCGTATATTAACAACACCTTATGTACTCAATTATATTTTGAAAAAGAAGAAAAAAACAAGTAATAAATAATATACTATATTTTAGCAAAAAACTATAACTCAGTAACACTAATTATAATTTAGAACATAAATGAAAAACTCATAACTGAATTTTTGGCCCGACCCGGGACTCGACCCGGGACCTCATGATCAGCAGTCGCACTACTACAACCACTAGATCAACGAGGCAGTACTATACTTAATAAGATATTGTGGTTGGGTATTAGGATTATTTTTAACTGTATACTATACTGATAATATTGAATTAGCCTTTTATAGTGTAAATTGTAATATTTGTCGAAATGTTAATTATGGATTCGAACCTTACATGCTAATGGTGCTTCATTTTTTTATTTGCATTTACTTCAAAGAAAATACACGCAAAAAGCTTCATCGCGCAGTAAAAAACGCAACAAATATATGTATAACTAATACGAAAAATTATACCCAAAGCAAACAAATAATACTACCTATAAATAACCTAATAAGTAATAATAATATTATCGATTGATAAGATGACGTCGTGACAAACGACACGGGTTTCACCTTCAAGAGTTTAGCGCTCACTGACTCCAGCAAGCCCGTGGGCAGTGAATACGCCCAGTTTTTAAAATAATTTCTTTTTAATTTCTGTCTTTTGAAAAAAATTTATGATAGAAATATTCATTAATAAATTGCCTATCCATTGGTGTAAATCACAAAATAAAATAATACTTACTTTACGAGGAGATGCATGTTGTCAATAATTATATCACATTTATGTGGTTTCGTTGTAAGGAGATTATTTTAATATATATTTCTTTAAAAAAAAAATTGGATATGACTCTTATGGAATCAAGATTATGTAGAAATATAATGTGTTTTTCATTAGTTGATATACATATATTTTAAATAAAAAGTAGATAGCTCCTAAAAACCGCACAAATAACGACTAGCGCGACATTTTGCTCAACCTGCGCCTTAAGGAACAATTTCACTATCGATATGAATTTCATGATCGTAGTTTGCGTTCAGTGTATAGCTGGGCTTTGAATACTCCTTGCAGCGTAACTTCTTTTTATAAGAAGTCATTTACTTCACAAGCAACCCGATTCTGGAATTCATTACCACTTAACATCCAGCAAGTGCAATCTTTACAGGCTTTTAAAAAACAACTGAAGTAGTATTATTTGAATTTCCCGTCATAATAATAAATTAAATATATTTCCTCTTTTTATTAATACTTGTTTTTTTTTTGTTTAATTTTATCTGCATATACAACATGTAACAAAAACCCTGTGGTTCCCGTTAAGTTATCAGCATCAGTATTCAAACCTATAGAAATAACTTTTTTTTAAATCTCGGCCATATTTTTTTAAAATTTTTATTAAAAAATATATTTTTTAATTTTATACATACATACATACATATAATCACGCCTCTTTTCCGTGGGGGTAGGCAGAGACCAGTTCTTTCCACTTGCTACGATCCTTGCATACTTGTTTTGCTTCGTCCACTTTCATTATTCCCTTCATACATGCTCTACGGTTTAGGGTACTCTTGACCTGGCCTTTTTTCAAGACGTCCCTGATTTGGTCTAGAAATGTCCGCCTAGGTCTACCCCTTCCAACACTTTCATTCACACTCGCCTTATACACTTTTTTCGTCAATCGTTCTTCATTCATTCTCTCGACATGGCCAAACCATCTCAGCATACCTTTCTCAATTTTTGTCACTACATCTTCTTTTAGACCACAACGTTTCCTTATCTCACTATTTCTTAGCCTGTCACTTAGTTTAACCCCTATCATACTTCTTAATGCTCTCATCTCAACTGCATTTATTCTGCTTTCATGTTTCTTCTGCCATACCCAAGTTTCACTTCCGTACATGAGTGTCGGAACCAACACCCCCTCATGCACAGCCAAACGAGCCTTGTTAGACACCTTCCGACTGCTCATAAAGGAGTGCAAAGCTCCATTCACCATGTTTCCTGCGTTCACTCTTCTTTCGATATCACTCTCACACTTTCCATCTCTTGTAAACTTTGAACCCAGATACACAAACTCTTTCACCTGTTCAATTTGTTCATCTTCAATCACAATGTTGCAGTCTGTCACTGCCTCATCTTTTTCAAACACCATCACTTTCGTCTTCCCTACATCCATCTTCATTCCCTTTCTAACAAAAGGTCCACTCATAGCAGTTACCATCTCCTGCAACTCCTCGGCCGAATACGCAAGTAATACTTGGTCATCAGCATAGAGAAAACATTTGACGAGTAACTCATTCATTCTCAGCCCACTTTCATTCTCTTTTAAATCTGTCAAACAATTGTCCATGAACAGATTAAACAGCCACGATGACGCTACACATCCCTGTCTAACACCTTTTTCGATATTAAACCATTCAGTGTATGCCCCGTTTATCCTTACACAAGCACTAGAATCCCTATAAAGAGATTGCATTGCTCGTATGAGGATACTGCTCACACCGTTCACGGACAGTGCTGACCACAATTCATTCCTCACCACTCTATCATAGGCCTTTTCTAGATTTAATTTTATGTGGTTTTATTACCTCTTACTGACACTAGCCGATGCTAAAGCTAAGTAAAGCGGGATCTTTGACAATCCTCTTACTCCCCAGACAATGCAGAGGTAAACCATATACAATTTGCATACAATTTTTTTAAATAAAAAAAAGATATTACAATAATAAAAAAATATTTATTTATTCATGTATGTTTATTATATTACTATATATTATATAATTCATATATTTATTTAATCTTATTTAATTATAAGTTTTTGTCCTCAGTTTTATTTTATACTGCACGTTGCACCTATCTGTCAAAATATATTACATTGTCCCTTTTACGTTCGGTTTGTCAGATAGAAATCGCTTAAAGCGATATGACCACCGTTTGTAGTTCTTAAGTTTTCCGTAATTGTAACCACTTTGTATAAATGCAATAAAAAGTTATCTATCTATCTATCTATCGTAAAAAGACGCAAGAAGTCGTTAGCGATTTATACGACAAGTTTTTGTATCATATAAATTGTGTAATGACGTTATAAGTTGATAGTAAAAGTTTTAAAGGAAAATTTTATTTTATTCTTTTTAGCACATATAAATAAAAGCTTGTTTTAAAAAATTCTTTTAATTTTTACTGAAAGACGAAGCATACTATCATGGTCCTTATGGGTGACAACGCATCTGCATTTTGATTCTTATTCGGGTCTAAATGTCAGGTGTACAGTGTGCTCGATTTTCACCTTTATTCTACATAAAAAAACGTTTTCCATTAATTTTGCGTCTATCATATTTGTCTGCCAGATGTGAGATGCACCCAACATCGCGGCCTGCACGGCCGCTCTCTTGGAGCACACGTCAGCAAGTCCTGCAGAATATACAGACGTGGCAGCGGTCACTGAACCATCTGCAGTCATTCCAGCGGTTCCGTATGGACTGGCCACATGTCAACCGCCCCGCTTCTATACTTTTAACGCCAAAAGATATCCAAGAGCTCATAAGGTATTATTAATGTCTTTTATTTTTATATAATTTTATCCATAGGCCTGATTGTGGGATATTTGGCATAGTTGCCGTGATTGGCAACCAAATATAATATAATATACTACTGCCCATCTCCTATTTCATTTCCCTGATGATGTGGGGTAGTGAAACTTTTTGACGCTACTAGACGACATTTTTTATTTTATATTTCAGTTTTCTGCTTTTTATTAGTTTATTTTAGCATTTTATGTTTTAACTAGTTTTTTTTTATATAAGTCTAAGAGTACCGAGCACACAATTCACAACAGATGGTAATTGAATGCTGTAGCCCATAAACAAATACATTAGTTCACGAATAAAAAAAATCAATTTATTTCAGACTGAGTCCATACAAGTAACATTGACATTATAATAAATTTAATCTCATCTAATTTAATTTTATATAATTCTATCTAATCTTTTTAATTTAATTTAATCTTATTCAATTTAAATCAATTCAATATAACTTAGTTCGATTGTTTAATATATTAATTACTTGAATAAAATTAATCTATAGTTTAATTCATGTATCTGCCACCCTCTGGGGCACCGGGCACATGCATTTGCATGGATAGATGTAGATGTCTATGGGCCGCAGCAACCGCTTACCATCAGGTGGACTCTGTGCTCGTTTGTCACCCTATCCTATAAAAAAAATACTTACTCCTGCTAATGAAATAATTGGCATAATTTAAAATAAAATATTTCATTACAGATTGGAGAGTGCTTTGGTTCGAGCGCCTGCTATGGCCACTCTGCCACCAGCGTGGCATCGTCAACCATCTGTCACTACGCCATCACCTTATGTAAGAATGAGATGATTACGGCTTTTCAATATAATTCCTTCTGATCTTCTAGAGACTATCTCCTCTTTTCCTTCAACTGTGTAGGCCATTCTTTTTTCGGAAAATTGGCTTAAGCCTTCACTTTCAACTTACTCCTACAGCTTACCCGGGTTTGTCTTAATCAGGAATGACAGAATTGGCAAGGGTGGAGGTGGCGTCGCCATTTACTTTTGTTCTTACCTTTCTTTTTCGGTCATTGCTTCGTCACCTTCACAATATTCTGCCTCTGCCAAATATTTATTCCTGGAAATTCAGGTGGGACGTTCCAGGTTCATTCTGGGTGTCGTTTACTGTCCCCCTTCTGTAGAATATTTCTCTAGCTTATAAACCGTCATGGAATCTCTCAGTGCGAACTACCTACATCACATTATCATCGGCAACTTTAATACTGACTTTTTCGATACTTCTACTCAAAGGTCTAAGCTCCTTAATATGATGTACTCATTTAACCTATCCATTCTTCCTTGCTCTCCGACTTACCACAATCCTGATTCTGAATGGACCCTGTTAATTTAGAAAATGATGCGACGACTATAGATTTTTCTCCAGTGTATGGTGCGTCTTCAGTGGATGATAAAGTTTCAATTTTTACTGATTTAACTTTGAAACTGTTTGTTGTCTATGCACAGGAGTGAGCTATTAAAGTTAAGCGACCTCCAGCTTATTACACAATACAATTTGTTTGTAATTAACAACTATAACTTAAATTTGAGGTGGAAATTATCAATTACAATAATTATTTTTACGAAATTTATGTGGGGGCCCAATTATTTAACTATTTGTCACCGGGGTTGCCACAGCAAAAAAATCCTATCATGACTTCTCTCGGCCGTTCGTTCTCACCACAGATGCGTCGAACTTTGCTCTCGGTGCAGTTCTATCGCAGGGACCTATCGGTAGTGATAAGCCTATAGCCTTTGCAAGTCGTACGTTGAACGATGCTGAAACGAAATACAGCACAGTAGAAAAAGACCTTTTGGCAATCGTTTGGGCAGTCAAACATTTCCGCCCTTACTTATATGGAAAAAAAATTTACAATTTACACGGATCATCGCCCTATAGCCTGGTTAAATTCCATAAATGAACCGAATAGCAAACTAACTAGATGGAAGTTACGCCTATCGGAATTTGATTACGAAATAGTGTATAAGAACGGGAAACAAAATTGTAACGCTGATGCTTTATCTAGAATTAAGATTAACGCCTTAACTGATAACGATGATGTTTCTATGCAAGTGAATGTAGACAAAAACGAAAAAAACTTCAACGCCATTTCAGCAATGTAGTCTCTAAAATTGTACAGCTAGATAATTCGAATCAGGCGGGGGACGTAGTAACAGTATCATCTGATTCGGAAACGTTGAGTATTCCTTCTTTACATGGTAGACAATCTCCATATCCGATACCATCTCCAAATAGTAGCACCGCCACAGCTTCTGAAGGACACAGTAGTAACAATACATTACATTCGGCTAAAGAAATAGACACAGCAGGAATTTTAATTCTTCAAGAAGCGATTGAATCAAATACTCGTTCATATCTGGAACAGAAATGAATGTTCGGTTAAAAACTTGTCTAGGGATAAACAAAAGTTCACTTACCATTAAACAATTTGGATTTTATTAAAAAATTCTTGAAAGAGTATATTAGACCTAAAATTAAATATTTTTTTTATTTCGAAGATGTCATACACCGCAAGCAGTTTTCGGAAGTCACAACGCAATTATTCAAAAAGGATAGTGTTAAATTTTATGAATGTACAAAGAGGATAGTCTATATAGAAGATGAAAATGAGCAACGCAAAGTAGTTCTTAAATATCATTTAGGTAAAAATTGCCATAGCGGCATTAGGGAAACATTAGTACATTTGAGGCGAACGTTTTATTGGAATAATATGGAACAAACGGTAGCGAACATCATAAACTCATGTGAGGTCTGCAAGAAAATGAAGTACGACCGTAAACCCCTAAAACCTCAACTTCAATTGACTCAAACCCAGTCTAAACCATTCCAAGAAATTTTCATTGATACCTTTTTGATAGAAGGTAAGTATTTTCTAACCTTGATAGACGCGTTCAGCAAATTGGGTCAATCAATTGAAATTAATAGTAAGTCTACCACGGAAGTAATTTTTTTTTATTTATTTATTCAAAGAAACTTACAGCTTTTATATCACATTTGAATGTAAGATGAATGTTAACAATACATTAGCCAGAACAGTTTCCAACGTTGAGAATTACATTGCGAAAACTTTAAACATAATTAAATGAAGTACATATTTGAGTTTTAAGATTTTTGAAAGATATACTTACTGCATACCTAATAGCAATATTAGTAGAGGTAATTTTATAATTAGATAGGGGACAAGAAGTACACACACCACTTAAGCATGATCAACTTGTTTAATAGATGTAATATAACTGTTTAGTTTGCAGTTAAATATGTCAATATGGTTACAACACTCATTATGTGTGTTGCAAGCACGAACCAGAAACCGGTTTTTCGAATACTTAGTTCTGCAAAAAGGAGTAGAGAAAACTGCGTTGGAGCGAGCACTCAACCTAGGGCACCTAAATGAAATACGACTTAGAAGGAAGGGGGAATCTATACAGTTATGTAAAAGTTTAAACAGAAACACCTGATCTCTATGTTCACGCCGTAATTCTAATGAATGATGTAGCGCAGAATAAATTTGTAACTAAGTCTTTTCAGAAACTTATTTTGAATCCTTTCAACTTGTTCCACATAAGTAGCGTAAATAGGGTTCCACACCGTAGATGCGTATTCAATATGACTTCTTACTAAAGAATTATACAGCATAACATAACGTCACGTTTGATAATTCTATCATACCGTATTCTGACAGCGTTATAAAAATCTGGGTATCTACTTTGACACAACCTTAAGTTGGTCCACCCAAATTCAGAATATCGGTGGTTCTGTTTTTGTGTAGCTCAGTGCTTTGAACAGTCTCAGCAACTTTCTTCCGGTCAAGGTAAAGATAACTTTGGTGCAATCTCTTATTTTGCCTATTATTGACTATGCTGATGTATGTGTGTCTGATCTCAATGAGGTTTTCCTTGATAAGCTGGATCATTTCGTCAATATCTGTATCTGTTTTATTTTTCATCCTCGCAAGTTTTATCATGTATTTTATTCGATAAACACATCCAAATTATCTGAAACATAAGTTTCAGTTTCTGCGGGACACTCATGACAGACAGCTTCGTTCATCGGAGACTCTTGCTCTCTTTATACCCCTTCACCGTTCCAGTTTCATATCTTCATCGTTTGCTGTCCAAGCCGCACGCCTATGGAATGACCTGCCTGAAAAATGAAGACAACCTACCTGCAAACAAACATTTACGAAGAAAGTTCGAGATCATTTTCTAAAATTGCTTTATAACTGCTAAATTCCGTCATTATTATAGTTGTAATCTCTGTATATTAATTTGATCAGTATATTACGTATCTTTATGTATCTTGTATTATATTATTTTTATAATATATATTTATGTATTTATATATGTATGTATGTAAGTATAATATGTATATGTATGTGGGTATGTATAGTTATTTGTAACCGCCTTTGTAGTTCTATCACTGCCCTAAGGTTGACTGGCAGAGAATGCTTTTAGCGTTAAGTCCGCTTTTTGTTCCTGTACTTAAAATGTAAGGTTCAATAAAGTTTAAATAAAATAAAATACATTATGTGACAAAATATATATTGAAAAGTAAAAAGTGATTTATGACCGTTATTATTAGGCACGTTATATTAATCCTTACGAACGAAAGTAACTTCATGATGCAGAAAATTTTATGAAGACAAAATTTGCTCTTTATAACATGTTATTTGGACGCATAGTTTAAGAGATAATGAAAAATTTCAATAATTCAACACTCGGCTCGGTGCGCGAACAACGCATAGCTACCGGATGAGAATCGAGAGAAACCAGCAGTGAATCTTTATGTCCCGCAGCTCAGACGCACGATACAAGTGAAACCGCAGGGCACAGCTAGTACAGTATAAAGTGTTTCCTATTATCTCGATATTTTAACTGTTAAAATAAAATAAAAAATGTAAATTAATGAAATAAATAAAAATTATTATATTGAATAAAACTATCATACCCCAACCATTTACAACTTACACGATTTCATATCTTACCGATTTATGTACCCACTTCGAGAGTCAATCAATTTTTGTTCGATAAAATTACTTTACCTAAAGAATGAAGTAGATGGCGCTATTACAAAGCAATTTTAGTCGAAAGAAAATATTCTTTTGATCTATAAATACCCTAAAATAAAGGCATTTCTACCACGTGTAAACTCCACACATGCTTTTTATGGTCGAGTTTTCTGATGTAAAGTTACTTCCATACGTCTGAATACTGATTCTGATAACGTATTTAACAGGAATCGCAGGGTTTTTGTTACATGTTGTACATATATTTTATAGTTTTCGGATATCACCATTTTATACTTGGTAGAGCCACGCTGCAGCTATATTATGATTGTAGCAAGCATGGGTCGGCTCCACCGGTGTAAGACCACGCTCTCACAGAATACCAGTACCATAAAATAGCAGCTTAATGCTGATGTGTTTCGTATGGCAAGTGTAGAGAACCGGAGACCCTTTTTACTGTGACAACGCATCTGCATTTTGATTTTTGATCGAGGATGAATATAGATGACCACGACTATGACCCTCATCTACTCACCATCAGATGAACTGTGAGCTCGTTTGTCACCCTGATTCTATAAATAAAAAATAAGGTTGACCCTACAGGCCATCCTTGGAACTTTCAGCTAATTTCAAATGCAAAGCCCTCCAAATTCCACCTATAATGACGTCATTTATTACGTACGAAGTTATTGGCAAAAAATACTTTTCTCGAAAATTTTGGAGTTGATCGTTACATCTGTGTAAAAGTCATTTCAATTTTTTTTTGATAATTTTATGTTTGTGATTTCGCAACATCTACCGGTAACGCACGCACGCTTGCACGTGCAACCCCCCCCCCCCCCCCCCCCCACACACACACAGACGCACACACGCATAAACACACACGCACACACACACGCACGCACGCATGCACGCACGCACGCACACACACACACACACACACACACGCACGCTCGCACACACACACACACACACACACACGCACGCACGCACGCACACACACACCAACACACGCGCGCGCACACACGCTCAAACGCACACGCACACGCACACACGCACACACGCACATGCACACACGCACACGCACACACGCACGCCCGCACGCACCCACACACACGCACACGCACACACACGCGCGCACAAACGCACGCGTGCACACACATGCACGCACGCACACACGCACGCGCGCATACACACACATACACACAAACGCACACACCCACATACACGCGCGCACACACGCTCAAAAGCACACGCACAAACGCACACACGCACGCCCGCACGCACCCACACTCTCACACACACACACACACACACGCACGCGCTCGCGCACACACACACACACACATACACATTCACGCACACACCCGCACACACGCGCGCGCACACGCTCAAACGCACACACACACGCACACACGCACACGCACACACGCATGCACACACGCACGCACACACACGCACGCACGCGCACGCACTCACACACACACACACATACACACGCGCGCGCGCACGCACGCAAACGGCTGGATCGTGGGTGGACTACGCTCTCACAGAATACCCGTGTGAAATAGCAACTTTATGCTGCTGTACAAACCCTTATAACTGGTAACGAAACATTCTATATTCGGCTTGTGTGCTATATGTATGCTTACTACTACACGTGCACTACTGCACTAATACATTGCGCATTAAGTTACGGTCAGTTCTCCGTAATTTGTTAAGTCGACTCCGAGCAGACGAGATTCTTTGCTTTGTAAGCCGCAAACGTTGTTTCCGAAAATCTGATACTGTTTTTTTTTAATGTGACAAAAAATTACTGTCATTATTTATGTGTACACCTTTTCAATGTACTTTATTTCGTATTTGTATAAAAACAGTTACTGTCGTAAATGAAATTACAACTGCGTGACATATTTACTGCATCAACTACACGTCCGCGGCCGCGTCCGCGCGATCCACAGCTGTGACAATGTTTTTGTTCTGAATTACCGGCTTAGTAGTATACTCGTACATAAAAGTATTTTTGGGGAATAGATCCACTTACCGTCAAGTGTACTGTGTATTTCTTTTTCACCCTTATTCTATATTATTTTAATATGATACAGAAACTAATCAGTACCGTTATGTCATTATTCAAGGCCAAAGATTTCTATGAATGCAAGAACGGCAATTCAGAACAAAAACTACATAGCTGGCACGGTAAATATGCCAAGCAGTTTTATTTTCATTTACGACAGTTGCTGCTTTTATGCAAATACTGCAGACTTGGTATTACTCTACACTTATACTATACGCTTGATAAAGTGCGCACATAAATAATGAAAATTAAAAAGAAATCAATGTTATATTGTCGGAAAACTAATCAAAGAACTAAGCCGCTCGCAGTCGACTATAGAAGTTACTTTGAATTTAACCGACCGTAACTTAGTTCGCAATGTATTTGTACCGCACTGTCAATCTAATAGTACAGTAACATAGAAGTCTTTGCTAAAGACATCTTTTCTGAGAATGAGCTCATTGTACAGCAGGAGTATGGTGGGGGTCAGCTGGGGCCCAGCGAGTGGAGGGCGTGGGGCCCGTGGGCCGCGTGGGGCAACCTGGCCAGCGGCTGGGTGGTGGGCGCCATGCTGCTGCTCGGCTCGCTACTGCTGGTGCGGTACATCGACCGCTGCATTGCTAGAAGAAAATTCCTCAACTGTGAGTGTTATCATCCACCGTGTAGTAACACTAGACGATCCATTACTCTAATAATATAAATAACTGTATATATCTTAATATTATAAATAACTGTGTAAAATTATTGTAAGATTATATTTGAAATGAAATTTCTTTATGAACGTAGTGGAGAAATTTAGTACGGTATTTAAAAAAAAACGTCTATTTTTTAACGTTCCACCGTCGCGGTTGCCTGAGTATACTATTAACTTACTACTACTAACTTAACTACTTACTACTAACTTAATTAACCGACTTATTTCTTATACATATAAATAAGGAAAGATGTTTGTGCCTATATTTCACTCTGCAGCCAAAACTACAAATCGAAGACGAATAATGTTTGTATTTGGTAGTAGTTACAAGTCTCTTATCGTGCACTATGGGGGTTGCGAGACGATTGCTATAGGGATGTAAAGATAGAATAGGGTTAAAAAAAGTTATCTTGAAAATTATGGGACTATACTAATTACTCGAGAATATTCTGTATTGCTCTAATTTTTTTTAGAATTATCTCGAAAGTTTCTAATTTATTTAAATATTCTGAATTAAATGGAACTGACTCTAATCAGTCTAGAACGTTCTAGATCGTTCTAAAAATTTCTAGAATGATCTGGAAAGTTCCAGAATGTGTTAAAATGTTTCTAATTATTTTAAAACATTTTCAATCGGTCTAGACTGTTTTGGATTATTCTAAAAATTTCGAGAATAATCCAGAAAATTCTAAAATCTGTATATCTATATCTCTTTACCATAATAAAAGAAACAAACACTAAAATTTTTAATTATCATATAGTCCTACTGCCCCTCGTGTAGTGCAAAGCACGCTGGCTCCGTTTCCCCGCTGAATGTCTATACTTAGCTTTTGAGCGAGAAAAGAACCAGCCCTCTTATCACCAGCAGTAACAACCAGCCGCGGATGGAGTGCCTTTAAGAACTTCACCGCACGTAGACCCCACGGACCGATAGTCTCTACAGCTATAATTTTATAGCTTTTAACTTTCTCGATATCTTTTAAATATGTGAAAACTAATTTCAGTAAGAAGAAGACAGTCAGAGGAATGGCCGACGCCCACTGTTCTCGCGACTAGTCGTAAGTCTCACAATACTAACGGTGGCGGTGATGCTTCTAGATCTAGTCATTCAAATTTGATGCGTTATTTATTTTAATCAGAATGCCATTAACTCATTCTCATATAACTGATTTTCGTGATGAAAAATATCGTGGGTGGGTTCCCACAATAATTCCACTAAAGGCTATCTCTTCTCACTGAAAACTGAAGACTGATAGATGGCATATACCTAGTCAGGTCATAAATTCTGTCACATGTTTAATATAACATAACTGAAACAAGTTTATTCATTATGTAACCATTTATAAGCCAAAATGAACTTAACAAAACATAGATTCTTATGACACTAAAGTTTATTCAAAATGACCTCCGTGATTTTGAATACGGGCCTTCAATCTGCGCGGCCAGTCGTCTATCGCAGCACGAACGAGGTCCATGTCAATATCGGCGGCGGATGTCTTGAGTGACTCCAAATTGGGATGAGGCTTTGAGCACGCCTTTTCCTCCAAGTGTTGCCATATATTGTAATCTAACGGATTCAAATCTGGACTGGAGGAGGGCCAGTCTTAGTGCCGGATGAAGTCGATTTCACGCGCCGCCAGCCAGTCTTGTGTGCTCTTCGCTCTATGAGCTGGTGCCGAATCTTGTTGGAATACCCAGTGCCTGTTATTGAACATGGTATGAGAAACAGGTTCCACAAGGTTCGTCAGGACTGTATTTTGATACACAACTGCATTAGTTTTTACACCTTTCTCACAAAAAAACAAAACGCGGCATCTCTTCAGTCTGAGGTCCATTAGACGAGCATTCAAACGATGTCCTGTTTTTCTTCGATATGCCCGAAGCCTTAACTCTTCATTTAACATCCTTTTCACCGTGGTTCTGCTTAACCCCATCTGAAGGGCCAACAGTTTCTGCTTACGTTTGGGATTTCTTTGAATTCGCGCCTTCACAGCTTTTATCACTGCTGAAGTCCTAACAGACCGAGGGCGACCACTTCTTGACCTGTCATCTACACTAGAGTCTTCATTGTATCGTTTGATGGTACGATAAACGAATCTTTTGGTTATATTCAAATTTTTCAGTATGTCAAAAATTTGAATTGGCGCGTAACCGCAACGATGCAACGCAATAACTGCAACACGGTCTTCTTTAAGCGTCCACTCCATATTTAAAAATGAGTAAAATTCTAAAAAGTATACAGTTTTATTTTCATGAACAATTCGAAATTCGAATTCAATAAACTTTTTTGTGGCCAGCATTCTAAAAGGAAAGTTTTTACTGTGTGACAATACTTATGACCTGACTAGGTATATATATTATATAGGTATATTTGTGTTATCTATAGAAATGCAGCATTTGGTATTCATAAAAATAAAATTGTGTATACAACCTTATAAAAAATGCTTTTAGGTATGTTCAATATTATAATAAAATACGAGTATATTAAATATATAAGAGTGGACAGCAAATTGTTCCCTATGGTAACCAGTTCGTTTGATGAAAAAATGTAAATTGGTTTAACAAACGTTTTTTACTGATATAGTTTCAGGATAAAAGATAATTGGATCGAAAAACTTAAAAGCTTACTATCCTTTAAGATAAGCATTTGATGATTGCAGTAATGTTTTAAATAATAACTTTAATAGCTTAATATTATAAAATTTAATAATTTAATATCAAAATTTTTAAAGAAAATACAGTGATTTGCCAACACTTTTTAAACTGAAATCCTTTATTATACCAATATATATAACTATAAACAATTATATAAAATTACTACCCTTTCTTACCTATAAAAAAACGTCTTCCATGTTTTCTACGAATTGCCAAAAATAAAACAAAGTACAGACATTATTTCTACCTTCTTTAATTCATTTTAACTTGTTTGCAGTATTCTATTACAGTTTGCTACATCATTCTCATTAAGCTTTCAAATGTCAAGGAATATTACAAATTATTTTATAGAAATGGCGATGGTGTTCAAATATCCAATTATTAAGCTACTAACTTTATCTCTCTATAAGATTTTAAAGTGTTAATTTCTGTTTTCACCAGATCAATTCCCAATTCTTGATGCAGACATCGAATCACTTCCAAGGCTGAGCGATTTCGACGCACCACCATCTGAGACGAGTGGGAACTTGCTTAACTGTGACCTACCCCCACCATATTCGGAATGCACCGAACCCCCGCTTCCACGCGCCGCAGGAAGTAAACAAACCATAACGGAAGAACTTCCCCCGCCATACTCTGCTTGTTACGTAGCCTTCTCCAACCCAAAAGATGGAGTTCCTTCCGTCCATATCTACAACGAACAAGGACAGAGCCTCCCAAGTGACTCACACAGCAGTAGTTTTAATGAACATGCAGAAGTTTTAGAAGGAAGTGTTGAAATAGTTAATAATATACCAAATAATGGTTGTGAAAGAAATTCAACAGATAATTCTGAAACAAATGAAAATTCAAATAATGTTGGTGACACTAATGTTTTAAATCGTGCTATTGCTTCAACCAGCAACGCAAATGATAGAGTTGAAAGTAGTAGCCATATTATAGATATTGATATTATTAACACATTGCCGGGAGAGGTGCTTAAAGTAGAATAGATATAAATGACTGAACTTGAAGATTAAGTAGCAACTGCTCAATTGAATAGAGAGAAAAAGTTTAACAGGGATATTTTTGACTCACCCACAACGCAGACAACTAGTGATGAATTATTTTGCACCCTATACAGTGTAAAGTTATACAGTGTGCCACCTGTCGGATCAATCACACTACTACTACTCTGACCAGCCAAAATATAAACTTCTGGATTTAGTACGAGTGACCGGAATCAAGACATGGATACAACATTTTAATCCCTTTAGGTGACACATAAAATACAAGATATGTGTGACTGTTACTTTGGTGCATGACCTTAAGTCTGTAGAAGAAGTGATTACTAGTGTAGTGAATCCTAACGTTTTAGTATGGCGATCCCTAATACATCTATACTTCAATCTTGAGACCCTTTACAAATGAAGAAATATCTAAAGTTGTCAAGTCCTCCCATGTTTCCGGAGACCCATGTTCACTTGGACTTGATGGTGATGATGATAATTATGAACCATGATTAAATATTAAGTGTCAAATGTCACTTGTCACGTGCGATGACTATCATAATTATCAAACTTTATTTTAGAGTTAGTAAGGATTTACCGACGTTAATACGTTCTTACAATGAAATTTAAATACATTAGTTTACAACTAGTAACTTTTTAATTAATTTGGAATCCTTGAACCTCTTTGAATATCTGCGTGACCGCAATTTGGTCGCAAGTAGAGATTAAGAACAGTTGGTATAGTGGACTGTTATTTATCTGCTCATTATCATAAAATTGGTTATTCCAGAAAAGCAATTTTAACCTTTATTTCAGAAAAAGTTACCAACCAGCACGAAAAATTGTAGGAACACGTCTCCAATCAATGTAATAAACTGAACTATTGTAGTTAGTTCTCCAAGTAAATCCAAATTATATTTTTATTAACGTAGACATAGCAGTTTTGTAAGTTTTTAGAAATCAGTCGATCCTCTTATAAGCACGTTCTAATATATGTATATAAAATTAATAAAATTTACAAATATAACATAATTAATTTATGGTCTTTTAATTATATGCTTGACAATCTTAAACATTCGTTATTGTCAACAATTCTATAATTCAGTAACACATGGGTTTTCGGATTAATGTTTTAATTAAATATTAAAATTATACGTTGGATAATTAATTCGTTTACACGAATTAATTATCCAACGAGTCGAGGATAAACTAGTAACGGAATACGACAAGCGCACCGTTTCACGTCAGAGCCAAGACTGCCCTAACGGCGGCCGCTCAGTCCGTTTTATACAAGCAGGACGGGCGGCAACGCAGGTGCAATGCCGCAGGTGTGCGGTACACGTGTCGTTTACAAGAATTCTGTCTAGCTAGACCGACGCCACCGCATCTACAACGGTGCAGGTGCCGTCATATATATATATATATATATATATTACTTATATAGTTAATTATTCGGCGGTGGTAGTTCTTCTATTTAGAGTTACCTAACAATATTTGTAAATTTACCTATTGTTTAAGGTCACGCCGCTGTCATCAACTCTAAATATTAACACCACCACCGCCGAAAAATTCGTAAATTTTATAGAAATTGGTGTTTTCAAAAATTTGTAGGTAAATTTACAAAAATTGATAGCTAATTTTACAAAATTATTTTTTTCAATAACTGCTGTCTTTTCAAGTTCACTAATGAGATTATATTGAAACGTATAATATTTTAATATAGTTATAGCGACTGGTTCAATCTCGTCACATTATTTTAGACTAATGTCAAATTTATCGTAAATTGTGATTTCGAACTTGTAATTTCTAGTATGGTTTTTTTTTATAGAAGAGGGGGCAAACGAGCATGCGACTCATCTGATGGTAAGTGACTACCACCACCCATGAACAACCGCAACACCAGGAGAACTGCAGATGCGTTGCCGGCCTTTTACAAAGGTGTAAGCTCTTTTCTTGAAGGTCCCTAAGTCTTATTGGTCCGAAAAAATCGCCGGTGGCAAACAATTCCACAGAGAAGTTTTACGAGGAAGAAAACTCTGTGAGGCAGCTAGAATTAATCCGAACAATTCCTAAAATTTTATTAATTAAAAAAATATAACAGGTTTGTTATCAATTTTAGTCATACCTACTCATTTTACAAAAGGTCTTTTTATAAAAGAGGGGGCAACAGCGCGGGGCTAGCCTGATGGTAAGATAATACAGTAACCCATGAAGGATTACCGTATTTTCTTAGTAGTTATCATAGTTGTAGTCAACATCAGAACAAAAGAAAGAAAACTTTTTCAAAAAGAAGAAAAAACAAAAATTACTTAAGTAGTATTTACTTTTTCTGAACATTCTCTTTTTTTTACAAAAGTAGATTTCTTATTCATTGTTACTCTTAAACTAAAACCATCTTTCTTTTCCTTTATTGCTTCCATAAAACTCTCTTTAAATAGAGATAGTTACGATGTAAGATCTGTTAGCGCATTCATGAATGCTTTCTGTAGGGTATTTTTTATACGATCGAGTGACAAACGAGCACACAGTCCACCTGATGGTAAGTGGTTGCTGTGGCCCATAGACATCTACATTTATCCTCAATAAAGAATCAAAAAGCAGATGCGTTGTCACTCGTGAGGACTAAGATGTAATGCCTCTTTTCCAGTAAAAAGGGTCTCCGGTTCTCTACACTCACCATACGAAACACAGCAGCATTAAGCTGCTATTTTACGCTGGTATTCTGTGAGAGCGTGGTCCTTCCCCGGTCGAGCCAACACATTCGTGCTACAACTTATAGCTGCAGCATAGCTCTACCAAGTAAAAAGTATAGTTAGATGTGGTCTGAATACACAACAGAAATTCATCTTAGTCTATAGTATAGTTCGATCCGTTAAGGTAGTGTCGGTTCACCCGGAGGGTCACTTATCATTTTGCTTTTATTTTATTATTTGTTTGTTTTTTCGTTTGTTTGGGTACGGTGGAGTAGGGTCGGTATGGCGTATTTAAGAATTTTTTTATTGTGCTTGTTAAATAAATGTTTTTCGATTCTAATTCTTATGGTTATTGTAATAAAATACAAATATAAATAATGACCACAGGTTTGGTAGCAAATAACTTTTCACTGGGGCGCTTTGTTTTAAAATGTCAAATTCTCCTGCGGGTGTACGTCTTGATGTTGTGGCGGCACCATAGACTAAATGCGGCACGCTACAAAGGCAACCGTATCTAAGCGAACAGACTATAACATGATACTGATTTACCTCGTTAAAAGTTTTGATTTTGAATAAAACGCTGATCTTCGGTTATAGTGCTTTATTAATAAAATAAACTTTAATTATTAATTACAACAATATATCTAATACTAGTGTACATAAGAACTATAAATGCATTTTGAAACAGCTACCATTAGCTGATTCTCGGTTTGTACAAGAGAGGGAAAGGGTGAGAGGATACGTACATAAATAAGACAATGGTATGAATAATTCTACAATAAGAGATCTCCAAACCCTATTACTTCTAACAATATACATTAATACTAAAAAGAACGGAACCTCACAAGGTCATAGCACCAAAAGTCATTTATCTTTATTATTTTTAAAATCTCTGTGTTGCTATAAGCAAAATTACTTACTGTTCACAAAAATATAATATGATATAAGGTTAGGATGATGGTTTGTTTACAAAAGCTAAAATCGTTCATTATGTTAATTTATCTTAATAACATATACTTTACATTGGAATCGTATTTGTGGTCAATTACTACAAAAACTGATTATAAATGATTTTCTTTTGTGATTTTTTTCCTTACATTCTTAAATTTTCTGATATTTTTTCTATATTCATAGTTAGTGGGAAATATGTAAGAAAAATCTTGAATAACATGGCTAATTTTGAGATTTAGCTATCAAAATTATTTTGAAGCTTAAAAATAATCTATTCTAATAAATTTGAAAATGTGAATATTATTTTTTCTTTTCATTCGTTAAGAGCCAATATGTATTTCAAAATTTGTTTTTAATACGTATTAAAAATATTTATTTTGATTTGAATAATTTAAAAGGTTGAAATGTTTAGCATCAATTCCAAAACTTCTAGCAACTGGTATTCTGCTTGCTATAACACACTGGTTCTTAACAAAATATAATTTTACAAGTTTTTGTTTATATTTGTAGGATAAGTTATTATTTAAATTGTTCATTAGACTTTTTATAATTCATCAATTATTTATTTGTAATCCGGCTCGAAGGACCAACTTTATGTTGACTTTATTTTTTAACTAAATGAACATATATTTTCATTACATTACTATTTATGCAAAGAAATTTTAAACCTATTGAAGGAACATTATTAATTTTCAAGAAAATATATAATTTCAATTTTATATATAGAAATCCAATTTTATAAATATTCACTGAGTCTTTCTAACAAACGAATACATTTTAATATTTATAATATGTATATATTATTTATTCAATTCATAATGTATACATATAATTCAAAGTTTGTATAGTTTGTCAAGACTACACAGGTAGAGCGCGTTCCGTTAACTTGTGAGCGTAAGGTTATGATTCGTCATCGGTGCGTGGGTAAGGTGTAGTGCGTGTGTGGGAGCGAGCGGTCAGAGTTCGTTGCGGCGCACGTAGCGCGCGAAGTAGTCGGGCCGCCAGCACTTGCACGAGCCCGGCACCAGGAACCAGTCGTAGTACAGGCGCACCTGCGTTCTTACAACTCTTAGCCTCTCATAATATTCAATTATTTCATACAAGCGCTTACTTAACTACCAAGACTGGTGTGTAGTGGCGGTTAAAAAGAGTTCACTACACTATATCATCTCGTGGGTGTCGTAAGAAGGAAATGAAACATAGAATGAGTGGCAGCATCATCTTGATGACAACACAAAATAATAGAAAACTGCGGTTGTATGCCGTCCACCAAACCTGGCCTATGTCAATACTGCACTTTTTATTGACTATAATAAATAGTTGATGATGAATGACATCCTTACCTTACCTCCATGTTTGTAAGGCAAGAAGAAGCTTGATCTCCAAGTATAATTTGTAACTAGAGAAAATCGAAATTTGTTGCTTTGTGAAAAATGACAATAGATGTAAAAATAATAAACGATCTCACATTCCATCTGATAATAAGTGGATGCTGTGGGCTACAAACTCCGACATCTGCAGATGCGTTGTCACCCCTGAGAACTAAAATGGATTGCCTCATTATCAGTAGAAAAGTATCTCCGGTTGTCTACACTCACTATGGTGATTCGTATGCGAAACACAGTATGGAATTATACTAGTTAAATAGTGAGAGTAGTAAAAGCTCCTTCTTCAATCGTAGGCAACCCATTAGTGCTGCAGCTATAAATTACACTGCAGCTCTACCATATAACGACACGACCCTCCCCTCCCAAACCCTAGACTTGCCTTACTTTCTAAGGAGAGGGAACTGTCAAAGGCCCCTTCCCCTCCCCACCTATAGGGTCACGAACCTTTGAGAAGTTTATAATGACAGATGATGAAGCCGATTGCTCATAGCTGAAGCTCACCTGATAGCATCCGAGCGAGACGTTCGCATCGCAGTGCACGGACTTCTCGGAACTGCTGTCCACTGCCTCCTCCTGCATACAACACATCAAGAATTATGAAAGAGTCTGCGATGGGTATGTAATACATTTTGATTACTATGAACTTGCTATTCTATAGAGTAACGACACTTACTCCAAACCTTACATTACGCATTTTTATGATTTGGATAAAGACTTCTATTAGTTTCACCATATTTTTTGCCGGTATGTTTGCAAATGTTCGTTATTCTTATATACTCTGATGATGCCGTGAGGGGAAACCGGTTGGTTCTTATAATTAGTATAACAATAATTTAAAATAATATTATAAAGTAAGTGCACGTGTTTATCCGAATCACAAAAATGAAGCTGGAATTTCACCAAGTGACAACAATTGCAAGTAACAGTTTTACATTATACACCTTGAATAATCGTTGGTAGCCAATTGGTTATTTGGAACACTCGATACGTTTCCTTAACTGAATAGCTAAGCCCTTAAACACACGGTGGAAAATGTTACCACAATTACTAAAAATTATAATAAATATCATAAGTGGAACCGTCCTGTGTAGTGGCGGTGTAAGAATATCCACTACCACATATCGTTCCGTGGGTTTCGATAGAAGGAATAAACCAGGAGATGGGCAACAGCGTCTTCCTGATAACTCGATATTTATATATAATGGAAGTTGAACCGTGGAGCTTTAATAATAATTATTTAAAATTACACAGTACAGATAGTGTAATGTAGTGAACTCTTGCATTGCGTAGCGTAGAGCACTGTTTAGTATAAAGTAGGATTTTATGTAAGTTTACACTACACATTGAATAAAAGTATGTTTACGGATTTTATCGCGTTTAATTGAGTTATTTTAATTTCCGACTAATTATGCTTATTACACCGGACGTCAAACATCTTAGCCCCCCCCCCCCCCCCCTGTGACCATGGGTTGTTGTAAAGCACCGGAAACGTCGGGACTTAAAGTAATAAGTAAATTAAACACAATAAAATCCGTAAACATAGTTTTATTCAATTAGTGTTATGTGTATGTGTGAACTCTTAAAACTACATATTATGTAAATGGTAAGCGAAGTGTAGGGTGACATTTCTCGAGTTAGAGTGACCTAGCAAGGGATGCAGTAAGTCAATGGATAAAAGTAAACCGAGTTTTGAGGCAATAACGCTGATAGTTATTGCAAATTGATACTGATTGCAATACGTAGTGAGTGCTGATACAACTTAACGACGTGAAATTTGTATAATGTAGTGTTGTGTTGCCCTATGATGCGATGCTATAACATAGGAGTCCGATGTGAATGAGGTACGAGAACGAGTGTAGCGCAAGTGTGAGTGTAATTAGAGTGCGAGTGCGGTGCGAATGTGAGTGTGGTGCGAATGTGAGTGTAGTGTGAATAAGATGCGAGTAAGAGTGCAACGCGAGTGTGAGTGTGGTGTGGGTGTGGTGTGAATGTGAGTGCGGTGTGAGTGCGATGTTAGTATGGTGCGAATGTGAGTATGGTGTGAATGAGATGCGAGTACGAGTGCAACGCGAGTGTGAGTGTGGTGTGGGTGTGGTGCGAATGTGAGTGCGGTGTGAGTGCGATGTTAGTATGGTGCGAATGTGAGTATGGTGTGAATGAGATGCGAGTACGAGTGCAACGCGAGTGTGAGTGTGGTGTGGGTGTGGTGCGAATGTGAGTGCGGTGTGAGTGCGATGTTAGTATGGTGCGAATGTGAGTATGGTGTGAATGAGATGCGAGTTCGAGTGCAACGCGAGTGTGAGTGTGGTGTGGGTGTGGTGCGAATGTGAGTGCGGTGTGAGTGCGATGTTAGTATGGTGCGAATGTGAGTATGGTGTGAATGAGATGCGAGTACGAGTGCAACGCGAGTGTGAGTGTGGTGTGGGTGTGGTGCGAATGTGAGTGCGGTGTGAGTGCGATGTTAGTATGGTGCGAATGTGAGTATGGTGTGAATGAGATGCGAGTACGAGTGCAACGCGAGTGTGAGTGTGGTGTGGGTGTGGTGCGAATGTGAGTGCGATGTTAGTATGGTGCGAATGTGAGTATGGTGTAAATGAGATGCGAGTACGAGTGCAACGCGAGTGTGAGTGTGGTGTGGGTGTGGTGCGGGTGTGGTGCGAATGTGAGTGCGGTGTGAGTGCGATGTTAGTATGGTGCGAATGTGAGTATGGTGTGAATGAGATGCGAGTACGAGTGCAACGCGAGTGTGAGTGTGGTGTGGGTGTGGTGCGAATGTGAGTGCGGTGTGAGTGCGATGTTAGTATGGTGCGAATGTGAGTATGGTGTGAATGAGATGCGAGTACGAGTGCAACGCGAGTGTGAGTGTGGTGTGGGTGTGGTGCGAATGCGAGTGCGGTGTGAGTGCGATGTTAGTATGGTGCGAATGTGAGTATGGTGTGAATGAGATGCGAGTACGAGTGCAACGCGAGTGTGAGTGTGGTGTGGGTGTGGTGCGAATGTGAGTGCGGTGTGAGTGCGATGTTAGTATGGTGCGAATGTGAGTATGGTGTGAATGAGATGCGAGTACGAGTGCAACGCGAGTGTGAGTGTGGTGTGGGTGTGGTGCGAATGTGAGTGCGGTGTGAGTGCGATGTTAGTATGGTGCGAATGTGAGTATGGTGTGAATGAGATGCGAGTACGAGTGCAACGCGAGTGTGAGTGTGGTGTGGGTGTGGTGCGAATGTGAGTGCGGTGTGAGTGCGATGTTAGTATGGTGCGAATGTGAGTATGGTGTGAATGAGATGCGAGTACGAGTGCAACGCGAGTGTGAGTGTGGTGTGGGTGTGGTGCGAATGTGAGTGCGGTGTGAGTGCGATGTTAGTATGGTGCGAATGTGAGTATGGTGTGAATGAGATGCGAGTACGAGTGCAACGCGAGTGTGAGTGTGGTGTGGGTGTGGTGCGAATGTGAGTGCGGTGTGAGTGCGATGTTAGTATGGTGCGAATGTGAGTATGGTGTGAATGAGATGCGAGTACGAGTGCAACGCGAGTGTGAGTGTGGAGTGGGTGTGGTGCGAATGCGAGTGCGGTGTGAGTGCGATGTTAGTATGGTGCGAATGTGAGTATGGTGTGAATGAGATGCGAGTAAGAGTGCAACGCGAATGTGAGTGTGGTGTGGGTGTGGTGCGAATGTGAGTGCGATGTTAGTATGGTGCGAATGTGAGTATGGTGTGAATGAGATGCGAGTACGAGTGCAACGCGAGTGTGAGTGTGGTGTGGGTGTGGTGCGAATGTGAGTGCGGTGTGAGTGCGATGTTAGTATGGTGCGAATGTGAGTATGGTGTGAATGAGATGCGAGTACGAGTGCAACGCGAGTGTGAGTGTGGTGTGGGTGTGGTGCGAATGTGAGTGCGGTGTGAGTGCGATGTTAGTATGGTGCGAATGTGAGTATGGTGTGAATGAGATGCGAGTACGAGTGCAACGCGAGTGTGAGTGTGGTGTGGGTGTGGTGCGAATGCGAGTGCGGTGTGAGTGCGATGTTAGTATGGTGCGAATGTGAGTATGGTGTGAATGAGATGCGAGTACGAGTGCAACGCGAGTGTGAGTGTGGTGTGGGTGTGGTGCGAATGTGAGTGCGATGTTAGTATGGTGCGAATGTGAGTATGGTGTGAATGAGATGCGAGTACGAGTGCAGCGCGAGTGTGAGTGTGGTGTGGGTGTGGTGCGATTGTGAGTGCGGTGTGAGTGCGGTGTTAGTATGGTGCGAATGTGAGTATGGTGTGAATGAGATGCGAGTACGAGTGCAACGCGAGTGTGAGTGTGGTGTGGGTGTGGTGCGAATGTGAGTGCGGTGTGAGTGCGATGTTAGTATGGTGCGAATGTGAGTATGGTGTGAATGAGATGCGAGTACGAGTGCAACGCGAGTGTGAGTGTGGTGTGGGTGTGGTGCGAATGTGAGTGCGGTGTGAGTGCGATGTTAGTATGGTGCGAATGTGAGTATGGTGTGAATGAGATGCGAGTACGAGTGCAGCGCGAGTGTGAGTGTGGTGTGAGTGTGGTGCGATTGTGAGTGCGGTGTGAGTGCGGTGTTAGTATGGTGCGAATGTGAGTATGGTGTGAATGAGATGCGAGTACGAGTGCAACGCGAGTGTGAGTGTGGTGTGGGTGTGGTGCGAATGTGAGTGCGGTGTGAGTGCGATGTTAGTATGGTGCGAATGTGAGTATGGTGTGAATGAGATGCGAGTACGAGTGCAACGCGAGTGTGAGTGTGGTGTGGGTGTGGTGCGAATGTGAGTGCGATGTTAGTATGGTGCGAATGTGAGTATGGTGTGAATGAGATGCGAGTACGAGTGCAACGCGAGTGTGAGTGTGGTGTGGGTGTGGTGCGAATGTGAGTGCGGTGTGAGTGCGATGTTAGTATGGTGCGAATGTGAGTATGGTGTGAATGAGATGCGAGTACGAGTGCAACGCGAGTGTGAGTGTGGTGTGGGTGTGGTGCGAATGTGAGTGCGGTGTGAGTGCGATGTTAGTATGGTGCGAATGTGAGTATGGTGTGAATGAGATGCGAGTACGAGTGCAACGCGAGTGTGAGTGTGGTGTGGGTGTGGTGCGAATGTGAGTGCGGTGTGAGTGCGATGTTAGTATGGTGCGAATGTGAGTATGGTGTGAATGAGATGCGAGTACGAGTGCAACGCGAGTGTGAGTGTGGAGTGGGTGTGGTGCGAATGCGAGTGCGGTGTGAGTGCGATGTTAGTATGGTGCGAATGTGAGTATGGTGTGAATGAGATGCGAGTAAGAGTGCAACGCGAATGTGAGTGTGGTGTGGGTGTGGTGCGAATGTGAGTGCGATGTTAGTATGGTGCGAATGTGAGTATGGTGTGAATGAGATGCGAGTACGAGTGCAACGCGAGTGTGAGTGTGGTGTGGGTGTGGTGCGAATGTGAGTGCGGTGTGAGTGCGATGTTAGTATGGTGCGAATGTGAGTATGGTGTGAATGAGATGCGAGTACGAGTGCAACGCGAGTGTGAGTGTGGTGTGGGTGTGGTGCGAATGTGAGTGCGGTGTGAGTGCGATGTTAGTATGGTGCGAATGTGA